CCAACCGATTGGGAAAAGATATTTAGTAACGACATAGCAGACAAATGACAAATTACTAAGATCTACAGAATTTTATAAGCTTACAAGAAAAAAATTAATAACACTCTGAGAAGGTGGGCAAAAGACCCACCTTCTCACAAACGATGAAACGACTAATAGACCCATGAGGAAATAGTCCAGGTCACTAGCCATCAGGGAAATACAAGTCAAAACAACAATAAGATACGATCTAGCGCCTATTACTGTAGCTAAATTTTTAAAAACTGAGTACAAATTTTGGAGAGGATATGGTGATAAGAACTCTTATCCATTGCTGGTGGACTTGCAAATATACACAACCACTATAGAAGGTGACAAGGTGGTACTTAAAACAGATGGAAATTGAGCTACCATGTGACCCAGCAGTAGCATCACTGAGCATATACACAAAAGAAATAAGAAACAGATCATGAACAGACTTTGATCCCCCATGTTCATCACACCACAGTTCACAATAACAAGAAGCTGGAAACGGGCTAAATTCCCATCGATTTAAGAGTGGATAAAAAAACAAAACAAACCACCTCTAGTACTTACACACATAGCCCTAAAAACCAATGATGAAACCATGAAGCACCTCAACTATGACACATGTCAACTCAAGGAGGATCTGGAAGACATTATGCTGAATGAAATCAGTCAAGTACAAAATGACAGATACTGTATGAGTCCACTACAGTAGGAACAAGCAGCACAACAAGCAGAAGCCCAAGCATACAGGTCATCCAGTCTTCTGGTGGAAGGCCAGACACCTGGGAAAGATCTGCACCAGCGCCAATGAAGCACACATCATTCACTCCAGGTAAATATAATGTGGATCGCTTGATCGGAGGGCACCTCACGACAGTGGAGATCAATTGGTTGAGGGGCAGAGATGGTGTCTGCTGAGTGTGAGCTATTTGGATTTGTGGTGAGGTCTCCCAGAGAGAGAAGCAGCCCTGTCAGCAGGATGAGGCTTACTGATGGTAGGGACAGCATAGGAGAGGGGGGAGGGAATGGTCAAGTTAGGGACAACATAGGTGCATGTCTGTTGGAGGGAAGGGAGGGATATCTGACTGCCTGGCGGGGGGAGGGAGTGGTGGAGAGAAACTGAGGAGGCTCTTGGGATTGTTAGGTAGGGACAGTCTTAGTGATGTGCAGTAAGAGGGTAGAACTGACACAGGGCTTCTGGGGGTATCTCAGAAACCCAGGCATGTGCCCCAAAGCACTGGGACACTGAATTCTGAATCTTTGGGGTGCACGTCATGCGCCAGAGACTACATTGTAGAGATCCCAAATGGGAACTCCACTGGGTGAACAGGACTCTACCACAGACACCCTTGTAACCTGAGGACTTAAATCAGAAAACACATGGTGTCTGAGGTAGAAGAAGACTGTGGTACCAAGAGCAGTGTACTGTTGGTTGGTGAACAAACAAGTCTTGGTACATCAAGGTCCTCTATGCTGTATTAAGATAAGTATTATCCTGGCAATCCTGTGACAGCCATCCTGGTACATTTTTCTTATGCTCATTTTTATTAGAGCAACCTCAAAGATTCATCACCATTGGGGTTCGCCCTCTTGAAGCTGTGTTATTTGTTTCTTTATTTGTTGGTAAATGAAACCAAGTGATGTTGAGCCTACAGGGAAAGAAAATATAACAAGCATTTGGGGGAAGGGGGAAATAGAGGGTATGGGACAATAAGAAGATGATGTCAAGAAGTCAAGTAAGGAAAAGAATATTTTGGAAAATATGTATGGTTATGGAAGAAATTGTACAGCGATGTTTGATGTGATGGAACTATGGAATGCTATGATATAGTGACATAGGTATGGGCTCCTAAGTTATAGCAAATTTTTTTTAAAAGGCATAGGCCAGGAATAGTTTTGGGGTTCGCAAGATATCCTAGCTCCAACTTATGAACAATTAGTTCTTACATCATGGCGCTGCTAGATACTCACCTTCATGAAATGATCACTGAAGATAAGAGTGCTAAAGCAACATGGGGTGAAGAAAGCAGAACGGTGTCCGGCAATCAGTCAGAATAAAGTCTGTGATCTTAAAGGCTTGTACTTAAAACAAGCAGTCATTTAAGCGAGGAGTCAACTAAGTCACACGGAAGAAGCACACCAGCTTGTGTGATCCAAAGATGACAATTACAAAATTTGAATATGGTGAGGAGAAAAGCATCAGAGCAAGAATTATGAACACCCAATTTGTGGAGGGCTGTGGGGGTGATGGGAGCCCCAAACTGCAGAGTAGCTGGTCAGACTGAGCCACTGTCAGACCTGCTCTAGCCACAGGCAAGAGGCTGAGACCATTGTAATCTTGATTATGCTGGGTGAACTGACCACTCCATAGACGTGACCTGCATTTGTTCTGAGTGCAAGTATCTCTGACTGCTTCCATGACAGAAATGTCTTCTCTGGCTTTTTGAATGTTTGGGGGTCTTTTCCTTCTTACATATTATTTGAATTTTTGTATATTTGTTAAATATATGATAATATATGTTAATGTATGTTTTTAAACTTACCACCTTAGTATGATTTTGTTTTTTATTGTTTTCTGTTGGGTCTCGCACTGTGAAGCACAGGAGGAGTGGATACCTAATGATAATAACTGACAAGGGGATATAGGAAATTCGGTGGTGGGGTGTTTTGGTAGTTCTGTAATTTTCATGTCAACTTGATAAATAAGTGTAGGGGGTGGCGTGAAGCATGTCAATCAAGTCACAGCCTGATGATGCCTCCTGGACATGGCTTTCTCATGAGGATTCTGGGAATTTCTAGTCTTTCTCCCTAGAAGAGGCCACACACTCTGTCTTCATCTTCCTGTTGACTAGCCACATGGAGACTTGCTGAAACCTGAAACCTGCTAGGAGCCCCTCTCTCACTGCTTCACCTTCCTATTTACAAGACACATTGAGTAGACACCTGTGCCAGCCCTGTGATGCTTCCACCGCCATTGGGTCCACAAGACTTTTCACCCACTGGCCTTTGATTCTGCATTATTACATGTGGCTGTGTGAGTCTGAAGAGAGATTTATGGACTAGTATTGGACCTATGGGCTAATATCAGACTTATGGACTTGATCTGGACTGGGCTGGGATATTGTCTTCATATGCAATCACTCTTTGATATAAAGCTCTTTTTTATACATATTTGAATGTGAATGAACTTTTTTCTCCAATTGACCCAGACTAGATAGGGAAGGGAAGGGGGTTTGGGGAGTAAATAATGAACTCTGGAGCGGGGAGGGAACACTAGAATGGATTGTGAGTGCATAACTCACCTTAAAGGAGATTTAACCATGGTGGTGTTTGCGGGGAGTGGGGGGCCTCTAAAGTTGAAGTAGGGGTGATTGTATAATTCTCCTTGATATGATTGAGTGTTTGAACTATTAAATTATATGATATATAAAATATGTGACAATAAAACTGTTGAGAAAAAATATGAAACTACTGTTTCTCAACATTATCTCCCCTCTATACACTTCTGGAGGTGGTGTTTATATCTCTCTACCTAAAGTACCATGAACTGCCAAAAGAACAAACAAATCTGTCTTGAAAGAAGTGCAGCCAGATGCTTCTAGAGGCAAGGATGGTGAGACTTCATCTCACATACTTTAGACATGTTGTTAAGAGAAAAGACTCCCTGGAAAAGGACGTCATGCTTGGTAAATTAAAGGGGCAGCGAAAAAATGGAAGACCTTCTGCTACAAGATGGATTGACATCGTGGCTGCTGCACAGACCCAAGTAGTGTTTTGTTTTGTTTTCTTGTACTATAAGCCAGAACTGACACGGCGACACCAAGCTGCAACAAAAATAACTCTTTCCTGAAGATATCTATGCTCTTCCATTTATATCACAGCAAAACAGCAGTTTTGGCATCCTCCAGAACTTTTGGATGTTCTTTTTGAAGAAAAGGAATCGGGAGGGGCAAGATCAGTACTATAGGTTTTCCAATGAAATTCTCATAGGATGGCCCAAGGAAAGAGCAGGTACCTAGTTATGACGGAAAAAATATATATTAGTCAGCACAACTTTCTTGCTAATTTTTTCACCAGTGCTGCATTCAATTTAAAAAAAAAAAGATCTTCACAATAAACTCCAATGATAAGTGACTTTCAAGAAAATCTATTAAGATATCCTTTGGAATCCCAAAACAGTCACAGTTAACCCTTGGAGTTGACCTCTCTGCTTATAACTGGCCCAGCAGACCCCTTTTAAAAGGTTCTCCATGAAGACTAAGATAAGCATTGTAGTAAAAAAAAACTTTCTTACAACCATCCATTGATTATAGACATGTTTAAGCACATATATCTTTAGAACAAACCATGCATATATGAACTAAAAACCAAGTAACAGTATTTATTTATTTACCTTCATATTGTTCACTCCTACAAATGCCAATACAAGTTTACTTCCTTGAGCATTCTCTAGAAGGCCTGGTGACATAGTGGTTACAATTGGACGGCTAGCTGACCACACCAACCACTCTTTGGGAGAAAGGCAATGCTTTCTACTCCCGTAAAAAGTGAGAGTCTCGGACACTCACAGGGACAGTTCTACTCTGTCCTATGGGATCTCTAGGAGTTGGCATCAATTCGATGGCAGGTTTTTTTACAAATGTCAATGCAATTTTACTTCCTAAAGGATTCTCCTCCTTGTTAACTATTAACATTCCTGTTGCTGCATAAAAACTACTATGTGTTTAAAGATAATCAGATAAAATAGGTGATAGTTAATTGGAATAATACCATGAATATCACTATTTTATCTAGTCCTAAAACTAGAGAAATTAAATAATTTGATAAAAATACAAAATTAATTTGGCCAAATAATACAGTAAACATTGCTCTGATTCAAAGTTAGGTTTATTCAAAATAAAAAGACATATGTCCATTAAACTCACAGGGCTATAAAATAATGTCTCAATTAATAGATATTAAATGATTAAATAGTTTTAAACTCTAAGTAATCATATATTTTCATCTAGCCAACTAATATATTTATCTCGTAATTTAGTTGCTTGATAGAAATTAAATATTCTTCCTAGGTAAGCCAGTCCTCCATGGATCGCATCTTCCATATGGTCATGTGCAACTTGAACGCCAACATTTCGAAGCCGTGTGGCATACATAAGTCCATCATCTCTTACAATATCATGTTCACAGGTAAGGATATAAGTTAAAGGCAAGTTTTGTAACTGGATATCATTTACCACCAAAGGGGATAACCTAGGATCTATAATTTCTGAATGTATAAAGCCATATCTTCCCAATATTGGTTCTGTGTAAACATGATTTTTCTTAAATTTTTCTGGAAGTAAGATAGTCCAGTTAATAAACTTAAACAGATGCCTTGATTCATCAGGCATATGTTGATTTAGACCCATTGCTTCGATACACACTTTATTTGTGGTTACATATAGACATCCCATTTTAATGCCTATATCCCTTGACAGCATTGGACCATGGGCATTTTCTTGATAAGATGGTGTCCACAAATCAATTATCTGTAATACAGGGTATAATAAAGCCTGGGCCTTGATTTTCCTTTTGAATTCTGGGTGATTCTGCATCTGTAAAATATTAAATAATAAGGGAGTCAGTCAATGTCAATTCTGGGGCATCTTCAAAATTGTTAAGTTTGGGCATATTGTTGCAGTCACTAAGTCAATTCATCTAATACAGGGTCTTCCTACTTCATTGTTCCTCTACTTTACAAAGAAGCATCCTTCTCTAGGGGTAAGTTCTTCCTGATAACACGTCCAAATTCTAAGAATCCTAGTTTTCAAGAAGCCTTCTGGCTGTACTTCCTCCAAGACCGATATGTTCATTCCTCGAGTAGCCCAGAGTTATTTCAATATTCATTGCAGACATCACAATGCAAACAAATCTATTTTTATCTGGTCTCCCTTATTCACTGAGGCCACTGAAAATATAATGGTTTGAATTAAGTGAACCTTAACTCTTGAAATTGACATCTTTACTTTTTAAAATTTTAAAGATGTGTGGTGCAGATTTGCCCAATGCAATATGTCCATTTCTTGACTGCTGCTTCATTGAGCATTAATTCACAAAAGTCACATGAAATCCTTGAAAATGTCAATATTTTCTCATTTATCTTAATGTCAGTTGAATTAGTTGTGCAGAATTTTGTTTTCTTTATTGTGAGTAGTAGTACCAACTGAAGGTTGCAATTTTTACCTTGATTGGGGTGGTAGTTACAGAATTTACTGTCAATTTGAGTGAAGGGGTGGAGTCTAGCTGGTCAATCAGGCCAATGAGGCCTCTGTGTGGACATGACCTTCTCCTGGGGCTTCTGGGACTCCTGTCTTCCTCCCTGGAGGCAGGACACACTCTCTCTGTGAGACATTCCTGTTGTCAAGTCACATGGAGCTACATTGATGGAGCCAGAGCGCTAGAGCTGGAGGAGCCACATGGAGACCCGCACCAGTATCGAGATGCTTCCACCACCACTGGATCCACAAGACTTTCCACCCACTGACCTGTGATCTTCCTGCATTCAGCGTCATTGCATATGCTGTGTGAGTCTGAAGAGGAACTTATAGACTGGTATCAGACATCTGGACAGGGCTGGGATGTTTTCTTAATATACAATTACTCTTTTATATAAAAGCCTTCCTTATACACATATGAGTGTCTATGAATTTGTTTCTATAGTCAACCCATACTAACACAATCAGTGTATTAGGCTGAGTTCTTCAGAGAAGCAAAACCAGGAGTGCTTATATGTGTATGTATATAGAAAGAGATTTATATCAAGAAATGGAACATATAGTTGTAGAATTGGGAAAGTCCAATCTGGTTCAAGTCTGAAAGTCAAATGTCAGCTTGAGTCCTGTAGCTGCAGGGACTGATGAAAAGAGAGCAGGAAGATGAAGCTGGAAGACCACAGGTTGGTGGATGCAGAGCTGAATAAATCAGAGGTCAATCAAATGAACCCAAAATCAGTAGTCAGATGATTACTCCTGGGATTGACAAGTGATATGACAGGAGGTCCACAGATTCAGGATCCAGATTCAGCAGAAGTGAGTTAGCTTCCACAAACTGGTGTGAATTGATACACACCAAGAGTCTGCCACACTCCAAGTGAAATCGTTCTCAATTATATCAAGACTGGCCAGATTAAGATGGTGGTACTCCATTCTCTTCTTCCCATAACTGATTGACTGCTTCACAGAAGAGCCCATCATGGAGTTGACCACACTATGCTGCAACGTATCATGGGAGAACCCTAGCCCAATCAAATTTACATAAAACTTAACTATCATAATCAGTAAATGCTTCAAGTCCTCTTAGTTTTCAGCAAGCAAGTAATATCCTCTGAATATCACAGATAGTTAAAGAACCTTCCTCCAATCATGATGCCTCATTCTTCTCTATATAATCCAGGTTCATGGATTATTTGCTCAGCATACAGAATGAAAAAATATGGTGAGAGAATACAGCCTTGATGTACACCTTTCCTGATTTTAAACCATCCCCTTATTCTACTGGAAAGGTGCATACACAAGGTTTCACATGAGCACAATGAAGTGTTCTGGAATTCCCATTCTTCTTAATGTTATCCACATTGTTTTCATGATCCACACAGTTTAATGCTGTTTCATAGTCAATTAAGCATTAAGTAAACATCTTTCAGTTATTTTCTTCTTTCAGCCACAAACCATCTGACATTAGGAATGATATCCAACATGGATGTCCTTTTCTGCATCTGGCTTGAATGCATGGCAGCTCCATGTGAATGTATTACTATAGTCACTAAAACGTTATCTTCAATAAAATTTTACTTCATGTGATATTAATACTATTCAATAACTTTTACATTCTATTGCTTAACATTTCTTTGTAATTGGCACAAATGTGGATCTCATCCTGCCAATTGGCCTGGTACGTGTTTCCTAAATTTTGGGGTATAGGTTACCAAGTGCTTCCAGGGCTGCATCTGCTTGTTGAAGCATTTCAATGAATATTCCAACAATTCTTTTTTTGCTAATATGTGCAGTGCAGCATGGACTTCTTCCTTCAGTCTCACTGGTCCTTGATCAAATGCTAACTCTTCAAATGGTTGCATGCCAACCAATTTAATTTTTTTCTTTTAGTACAGTGACTTTGTATTCATTCCATCTCCTTTTTAAGCTTCCTTTATTGTTCAATTTTTTTCCATAAAACCATTCTATTTTGCAACTTGAGGCTTGAAATTATCCTTTCATTCTTCCAGCTTCAGCATGTCGTTCACTCTTGGTGCTCTAACTCCGGTCTTTTCACGTTTTATATTAATGCTTTATTTTGTCTTCTCAAGCCACTCTTTCTAATCTCTATTCAACTCATTTCTTTCATTCATTTTAACTACTCTACATGCAAAAGCAGGCTTAAGAGTCACTGCTAACATCTAATTTGATTTTTTCTATTTTTCCTACATTATTAATGCCGTTTTTCATGTGTAATGTTCCTTTCACATGATCTTTGAATTTGTGATATTATTCCTCAAATCATCTGGCTTTCTGTCATTAGTGCTGAATGTGTCAAATATTTTCTGTAGGACATCTCCACATTTAAGTGAGATATACTCAAGATGATATTTTGACTCTTTGGGACTTCTAATTTTCTTCCGCTTCAACCAGAACTTGCATATGAACAATTGATGCATTGTTCCACAGCTGGCTACTGGCTAATACTAAGTTTCATCATATCTTCCAAAAAATGTAGTAAACTTAATTCCTGTGTATTCTACATGGTGCGGTACACACGTATAGTGCTCAATTATGTACTTTTTTAAAAGGTGGGTTAATAATTTCTTCTGGAAGAATACCAGACTTGCCCCAGTGAGTTGGAGATTAAAGATATCCCAAATATCCAACTATTCCAAGATTCTATTAGGCTCCATTTCCCACCCACTCTTCCCTTGAGAATATTCCCTCACATTCCTCCATTCTGCAATTTTCTGCCATGTCTTACAGAAACTCATAAAACTTTGAAAAGTTGTTTCACGTAGTAGTGGGTGCTATTCAGTCTGAAGCTGAAGATCAAGCAGAAGTAAACCAAATGCAGTGTCCAGAACCAGAAGCCGAAAATATCCAAAAGTCACAACAGGGTTTCTTGCTTCTACCAAAACTCTGTTGGGTAATGGAGGTAAGGCTTTCCAGGTGATATGTATTAGAACTGTACAGAGGTACTAGCATATATACCCCTTCAATGGAAAACAAAGGATGATGTCTTAAGTCACCCCTTCTAGTAAAGGAGTCTTAAAAATGCCCCACCAAAATGGTGTTCCTTGGTTCATATACTCTACTAAAGTCTTAATCCCACCTCTAATCCTGTCCATTAATATAGTATAGAACCTCCCCCAAAATTGGACTATAGTCACAGGCATAGAGTCCAGAATTATAATACATCACATAAGCACATAAGGAATTATGGCTTGAAGGGCCATATTAATTGATTACAATTCAAAAGGTATTTGCAATGAAGAAGTTGTTGGTCTTTTAAATTTTATCATGTGATCTCCAGCTTCACTTCTATCACCAAGGTCATATTTTCTAACTTCTGGCTGGTCTTATTTATTTCCACTTCAAATCATGAGTAATTATCAATGCATCTCGATTGCATTTTTGGTCGATTTCAGATTTTAAAAACTGGTAGCATTCTTTAATTTCTTCATCATTAGCTTTAGTGATTGCTTCTATAAATATGAATTCGTTTATTAAAAGACATTCCTTGTAGGTGTATAAATACCCTACCATTTATATCATTGTACTTCAAAATGGGTTTTGAAATGTTCACTTTTATTATGAATGTGACACAACATCGTTCTTGAATTTGTCTTCCCTTACATAGTAAAGCATGATTATCCCAATCACAATGGCCCATAGCTTGCACAAATGCCTAAGAGAGTGAACTTTGTGCATGCCACTCCATTTTTGATAATTTTCCTAGAATAACACATTCCATGTTTTGATTATTGAAATCTATTTTCAATTGTTTCTTCTTATGTTGAGTCATGCCCCATCAACAAATGGAAGTCCCCAAAATTCTGTTCATATTTGTAAGGTTGACTTGAGAGAAGTAGCTTTTTAAATGTTTTCCAACCAAGGCTTATCTTCTGCTGATATATGAGAGTGTTTGGCAACTATTATTCCTGTTTTCAGTGGATACTTTTTCAGAAGTGGGTTGTGTTTTTCTTCTCCGCTGTCTGTTCTTAGTCTGGAAGCTCTGTTGACACTTGTTCACCATGGTTGATCCTGCTGGCATTTGAAATATAGGTGACATTGCTTCCAGCATCACAGCAACACTAAGGCACCACAGTACAACAAACTGATAGAGAGGTAGGATGTAGTAATAACATAAGGAACAATTATAATTTAATGTATAAATTGCCTTTGAGCAGCACAGTATTTAGGAGAGTTAACTTTCTGTGGGCTGCTAACCACAAGGTCTGCCACTCCAAACCTCCAGCAGCTCTTGTGGAGCAAGATGAGGCTTTCTACTCCTGTTAAGAGTTGCAGCCTAGGAAACCCAAAGGGACAGTTCTACCCTGGCCTATAGTAGGGTCACTATGAGTCAGAATTTACCCAAGTGGGCTAGGGTTGTTGAGAATTGCGACAGAGCCAATTTTGAAAGTCCAGGCAGCCTATGGGCACCCTGCTGAGGCTAAGCGAGGAGACCCACGTTTACTTGACCAGACCCTGACCAGATGAAGAGAAGATTTTTGATCCTGTGAATTGGTGTATATTGCTGCTGACTTTATGCATGGCCTGTCCTTATTTGACTTTGCTCATGGATGCAGACTCACAGGCTTCCAAATGTAATGAAGATTCTTCACATCAAAGAACATCCTTGTTAGAGCATTGGGTTGATATAAGTGGGCAGTATAGAAATTGGTACCCAAAATGGAGGGATAAAGGCATGAAGTGGCTGGCTTACAAATTTTCACAGGTGAGAAAATATGTTTATAGAATTAAAGGATTATGCTGTAGATGTTCACATAACTTTAATTGTTAACCATAGAATATTTTTATTTTTGTCACTTGTAGAGTATTATGCTTAAATGAGGCTGACACATTTTGAGTTGTATGCATTTTAGTTTTATCCTGTTAGGCACAGATATGATTTCACTATTGTTTTGTTTAAAAATTGTGTATGGGTAAAGAGTTGTGTAATGGTGTCAGATTGACAAGGGGTGGTCTGTGGTTGTTACATAATTTCAAGTCAACTTGTTAAATAAGTTCAGGGTGGAGCCTAGCCTGTCAATCAGGTCACAGCCTGATGATGCCTCCTTTTGGGCAAAGCTTTTTCATGAGGATTCTGGGAACTTCCTCTCTTTCTCTCTGGAAGTGAGCTACACTCTCATTCTGCTTCACTTTCCTGTGGAGGAGACACTCAGAGAGCTGGAGGAACCATGTGAAGACCCCAATGCCAGCATTGAGATGCTTCCACCACCACTGTTTCCACAAGACTTTTCACTGACTGGCCTGTGACCTTCCTGCATTCAGCATTATTGCACAAACTAGTATTGGACATATGGGCTAATATCAGAATTATGGACTTGATCTGGATAGGGCTGGGATGTTTTCTCAATATACAATTGCTCTTTGATATAAAGCCCTTTCTTATATGTACATGAGTGTCCCTAGTCAACTTGTCCTACCACATGGGTATTCACAAAATATTCACTGAGTATTTGTTTTAATAAGAACTCTTACTCTAAATGATAACTTTTTCCTCTTTTATAGCTCCACCAATGCCCAGCCCCTCCCTTTTCACCTATTAAACTATAAAAACATTGTAACTACAATAATTCCATTTTGTTGTAATTTTTGCATTATTGTGAGCTATGTACTTATGTAAAACATAAAACATACCAGTTGAGTCACCACTGCTGCAATGGAAGCCCCAGAACTATCCCCGGAAATACAGATTCGGGTTGGATCCACTCTATATTTTGCCAGAACTTCATCATGTAGAAAGTATTCAACTGCAGCAAAGACATCTTCCAAAGCAATGGGGAACTGATACTGAGGAGCTAGTCTATAACTTAAAAGGAAAAAGAATAAAAATAAAGTTAAAATATGAATAAATATTGCTTGCACACATCCAGATATCTCTTATTTAAACATCAGATCTCTCCAATGAAATTGAGAAATGATTTACTATTCATTTCAATCAAACCTGGATTCACTGCCAACATATGCTAAAAAATAAGAAGTAGCTTCTGGTTTAAAGATGTTTTCCTCTTAGATCTAAGAGAAAACAAAAAATAGTGTGTATCCAATGCACAATATTGTATGTAAATTTTTCATCAGCAGAAAAATTAGTAGTGGAGATTCTCAATGTCATTTCTCAGATACTAGATAAAACCAATGGCACAGCATTCTCAGGATGACTACTGAAAATACGTGAGATTTTAAAAGCAGAGAACTAAAGTGAAAATGATGATATATTAAAAATTCGCTTACGCAAACTTTCCACAAAATATTATATTTCACTTTATTTCTTGTGGGCTACCTGAAACCTGGAGCCCTGGTGGTAAAGTGGGTAATGGCTCCAGCTGTTTATTGCAAGGTCAGCTGTCAGAGTTTCACGACTGCCCCTGGTCACTCCATGGGAGAGAGTTGAGAACAGCCACCCGGTAAAGATTGACAGCCTTGGAAGCAACTAGATGGCAGTGGAGTTTTTGTTTGGGGCGTGGTAGCAATCTTCAGGCCCATCAGAGTTTGTGGATTTTTTATATATTAACAAAACTAAATCAAATTCACTGCCATTGCGTTGATGCTGACTCATAGCGACCCTATAGGACAGGGTAGAGCTGCCCTTTGTGGGTTTCTGAGGTTTTAAATCTTTACAGGAGTAGATAGCCTCCTCTTTCCCCCTCATATATTAGTACTGAATATTAAATGTTGAATATACAGTATGGCCTTTTTAATTTTATCACATTGCACCCTGTGTTTGAAATATAATATGATTTCAACTATGTAACATTTTAAAATTGCATTTGTAATTTAGACATTATTCAGTGTAAAAATCAAATACCATTAATACATAATAGAACTCTTAAGCTAAGTACAAACATTTGGAACCATTTTAAAAGTGTGTTTAAAATGATAAAGCATATTAGGTAAAACTCTTGAGTTAGCGTTAAAGGGAGAACATTCTAATTGTGATGGATTAGAAATAGCTCTGCAGATATAAACAATTCTTCTGCTTGCTCTAAGGCAGTAATAGGGACCAGGGAAGGACTGGTCCATTACATTTTCTGTTTTGCTGCATTAGGCTCCCTATATTTCATCACTCTTCATAGCGAGTTATATGGTGGGGAAAGCCTTCATCCTGTACAGGCTGCACTTATGCAGTTCCACGAATGCTGAACATACACTAATTGTCTTGTATATTCTTGGAATCCTAAGCAAATAGCAAGAGCATCTGGGCTCTCTCATTTTGAGCGTGACTAAAGATATGTTGATGCTTCCAACATTTGTTACCCAATGTTCTGCAACCAAGAATGTGTCTGAAATCCATACTTGTATTTCCGATTCAAAATACCTAAAGTGGAACAAAGGGTACCTAAGGGGTAATGAAGCCCTCTAAGTATTCCAACAATCAATTAACAAAGTTAATTGGACTTCTAGGACTGTGTTTTAGGTTCCTAGAGATTATCACAAGGGTATTGTGAAAGTTGCTTATCCGGATACCTCTCAGAACTCTCTACAAAAGTAGACTTTAAAAACAAAAAGAGGAAATGTGAATATCAGTATGTTATATGATATAATGGTATACACCAAAAAAATGCTAAAATCCTAGTATTTTTTGTGCTTGGATAATTTGAGTTAGAAACCAAATCTGAAAGTAATGAGAGGAAGAATCATCTTTTTTTTTTTTTTAATCATCATCAGACTGGTCTTACTCCACGCCCACAACAACAGCATTGAGTTGGTTTGCCGTCATTCTATTCAGGATGTCGTAGCATGTCTGCTCTGAAAGAAAAATAGAAATATACAACAAATAAGCAAATAGAAGTAGAAAATTACTTGCACCTGTGAAATGTAGTAAAAATACTGTTTGTGGTCAATGAGTGTTAACAATCTATGTTTCCCACTTCCCTTACCATGGGAGAGACTTCTATCAGAAGAAAAAAATCGGCCTAATCTACCATCTACTAAAACATTCCTAACCAAATCCTCTCATGGCGCCTTCAGGTAAGTGTTGGACACCTAAGCACTGGCTAGTGGTGTAAAAGCACCAGCCACTGTACTGCAAATAGATGAGGCTATCTGCTCCCAGAAAGATTTACGACCTAGAACACCATATGCAGGGTTCTCTGAGTCAGAACGGACTCGGTGGTTGGGAGAAATTATGCTGAGTGATGTTAGCCAAGCACAAAAGGACCAGTACAACATGAGTCCGCCGAGGTAAGCTCAAACAGTACAAGGGGTATAGAGGGAAAGGATCACATCGCACAGCTTCCTGGTTAAGGACCAGGTATTCTGGCAGTGATCTGACAAAACCCAAGGATGCTTAGGGCATCAAAAACAAAAAGAAGAAAATGTATACAGATAGCACCAGAGCTGAAAGATATCTTTTCCTCTTCCCTCGGACTCTAAAGGCCACAGAGAGAGGAGGTAAGAAAGAAGATGGCACTGGGGGAACAGGGCATTAATCCACCCACGGGGAGTGTGCTGTTTATGTCTCCACAGGAAAGGCAGAGGAAGAGAGCAGACGTCAATCGGATGCAGGATTGTGTGTACCTTGTACCTTGAAGGCAATGTACACAGCGCAGCCCATTAATGGAGAGGACTGCAAGTCCAGCCCCAGCTTGAGTTGTGATGTCCCCCTATAGATAACAGTGATATGGAGGGCAGTACTGAAGATACGGTTCAGGAAAAGGGGCTGGTCTGTCCCGTTCACATGAAAACAAATTAAGAGAGAAAGAGAGCGTGTGTGTAGACCTCGTGATGCACTCTTGACGTGACTGCTACGAGCAGCTGGAGACATGACACCGTCTCCCTAGGTCGCAGCACTGTAAGGGTCGGCACTGAAGAGAGTTTGGAGAGTGCATCCAGTCTGACCTCCCCACAGGCGGGGCAAGCCAAGAGGGGAGGACAATAGATCAGCAATGGGAGCGAAACCACAAAGTCCCAGAGGACTCCCCAAAGTAGACTCTTGACTCCTGGAGCAGCATCTGGCACCTCATCGGAACTGGTTGGGAGATGGATATTCCAGCAGGTAGACCTGGAACTATTTATTTGTTTTTTGTTTCTTTTTGATGTCCGTCTATATAAGATAGACAGGACAAGCAAGCTCAAGGAGACAGATATGTGACTGATGGTTCGGGGAGGGGGACACAGGAGAGGAGAAGATGTGGGGAGGGGAGCGGCGAGCCAATGTGTCAGGGAAAGGGGACTAGCAAAGGATGTGAAATCGACAGCAAGGGGGGTGTAGTGTCCCTGGTGATATCTGATCAAGTGCAATGTAGCCGAGAGGAATCACTGAGAGCCGATTGAAGGTTGAACGTGATAGTGGGACAGGAAGAAAGTAAAAGGAAATAGAAGAAAGAACTAGGAGATAAAGGCATTTATAGAGGTATAAATATAGCCATGTATACATGTAAATAAATTAATGTATAATGATAGGGATTAACAGCATGTACATTTTAAAGTAGCAGACGGACACAGTGGGCCTCTACGCAAGTCCTCCCTTAATGCAAAAACACTTTGTTCTAATAACCTGGCATTCTTTGATGCTCACCTTCTCAACATGATTGCTGATGACAAAATGGTGCATTAGCTAATGTGGTGAAGAAAGCTGATGGTGCCCACTATTAAAAGATATAGCGTCAGGGTTCTTAAAGGCTTGAAGTTAAACAAGTGGCCATCTAGTAAGGTTGCAATAAAACCCACATGGAAGAAGCACACCAGCGTGTGTTATCATGAGGTGTCAATGGGAATAGGTGTCAGAAGTTCAAAACCAAGCAATAAAACTGACATGAACGAGCACAGGCAAAGTGGAGTCCCAAAGCCCACCCTAAAATAATTGGACAGTCCCTCCCAGAAGGGCCATACTGAAGAGATGATATATCCAGGGTGCAGTAGAGCATTGATGAAACACATAATTATCCTCTAGTTCTTTATAATTTCCTCCTCCAACTATTAGGGCCTTTGTTTTACCTCATTAATCTTGCTAGACCTGCTTATGTACAATTGTGCAATCAGGATCTTTTGATGCACAGAATTCAAGGTAGATGACCCCCTCATAAACAGTAAGGGGAGTGATGACTCCCTGAGGATACGGGAAGGGGAGGGGAGACAGGGAACTGATAGTCATGATGACTGTATAACACCACTTGAAGGGAAGAAACAACAGAATTTTAGGTAAATGGATACATGGGATGATGTAAGCTATAGCAAAAAAAATGATAATAAATATATTAACGTTTCAGGGGGATGGTAGGGTGGGGAAGGAAGGAAATAAAGGGACCTGAAGTCAAGGAGTTCAAGAAGAAAGAAAATGTATTGAAATTGATGATGACAGTGATTGTACAATTA